TGACAATCTCATCTCCCTGCTTCCTCCATAATTTCTTCTAATCTAGTCCCCAGGCTGAAGCCTAAGTGGTCTTTGAAATGTCAAATCAGAATCAAGTTTCTCCCCTACTCAAACCCTATCACTTCTTCTCCTTGCCCTGGAATAAGTAAAACTTCAGCTCCTCCCCTTGGCTTTCAAGCCCTGCCAGCCATCACCCTGCAAGCTAAACTTTAATGACACTGGGCCTCCTTCAGCCCCAGACACACAGAGTCCTTGCCTGCCTCCGGGCCTTTGCAGGTGCTGTACTCTGTATAGAAATACTCTCCCACCACCGAGAGAGACAGCACGTGGGAGGAGGAGGACATCATTTGTCTCTTTGCTGGTTCTGTGACCTGTTCCAGGTCCTGGATGGTAAGTCACCTCCTCAACATGACCCTCCCTCTAAAGTACATCTTCCAGTACAACCTCTCAACACGGTTTGTTCTGTTGAAGCAGTTACTCCCAAGCAGGACAAGCTTCTAATGGAATGTGATGGACAAGCTTCTAATCAGCCACTGCGTCCCACCCGGAGTCCGGGCATCAGCCCACAGACCCACTCCAAGTGGCCGCCATGTGGCCTCTCAGGCCTCCCTGATCGACCCAAACCATCCTAGTCCACTTTCACCTCTCACAGCCTGAGCTCCCCCAGGGAATGAGCTATGCTGATCTCACCAGCACTGTATCACCCGCACCCAGCAGCAAGCCTGGCACATGGCAGGTCCCCAACAAGACACTCCCCATACAAATGAGTCGTGAGATCTGAAACGCATTTAAGGTTTTGGAACAAACTTTCTCCCAAGACCAAGTGCCATTCAAAAAAAGCAATGAAGAGAACAGCTGAGCATGGCATATGTTTAAGATTTTTAATCACATATTTAAGGATAAAAAAATGAAATTGTCTTGTACTCATTTTCTTTTTATATAAAGAGGAGCTTAAAACCACTCAGCGTGAAAAAAAGAATGAAGTTCTGTAGTGTGGCAAATAAAAGAGAGAAGGGTGGGGACTGAGAGGGGAAAGGAGGCTGTGGTTCAGAAACAGAAACAGATACAGAGATAAAGAGTGAGAGATCAGAGAAGCTGGCGGGAGCATTCGGGCAAGTACAGAGCAGGCTACGCTGCTCTTCTGGGTACGAAAGGGCGGCGCTCCAGATTCCAGAAGGAGTTTTCACACTCCCTTGAAGGTTAAGGGCAGCAATCCTCTTAAAGTCCACTCTTTTCTTCATTTTTCAGAGAAGTTTTTATTTTTTTAAACTGACTTCCCACGCTAAAACTGGGAACTAGAATGACTTATTTTGAAAAAACGTAATCTATTCAAGTGACTTTTTAAAAAGACTCCAAGTTTTGTCTTTTAAGGAGACTTGGCTACAAGTTTCAAAGTCATATATTGGATTTTCAAAGTTACGGGCACTTGGGCCAGTTGTGGGGGCTCACACTGTAATCCCAACACTTTGGGAGGATGAGGCGGTAGGATCACTTGAGTCCAGGAGTTCAAGACCAGCCTGAGCAACATAAAGAGCTCATGTCTCTACAAAAAAGGAAAAAATTAGCTGGGCATGGTGGCACACGCCTGTAGTCCCAGCTACTCAGGAGGCTGAGGTGGGAGGATCACTTGAGCTCAGACATTCAAGGCAGCAGTGAGCAATGATCAGGTCACTGCACTCTAGCCTGGATGACAAAGCAAGATCCTATCTCTAAAAATAAACAAACAACCAAAGTCACAGGTGGAAAGAGGGAAGGGTCCTTGGGAGCTATCAGAGGGAGAGGCACAAACTTCAGGGACTGCCTAGCAGTTGTCTCCTGGACTGTACACTCAGCCTATTCCCTTCCTCTGGAAATTTCTAGGGCCCAGCCCCTGATGAATGGGTGAGCCGAGCCTCACTCCTCATGCAGCCCAACCTCCCAGGCCACAGCCAACTGGACCAATGAGCAGCACCCTCCCAAGCCAGGGCCAATCAGCATCTCCCTAAGAATTAGGACTTAGACTCCAATGAGGTGGAAACACAGCTCATACTGGAACAGCATGTAAAACTAGGGGGAAGGGAGTGGTCCACAGGAAGCATGGGCGTTTTCCCATCAGGCTTTCTCTGCCTGATGAAGAAATGAGAAGTGACAAGTGAGAAGGAGGAAAAGCTGGTCTGCACAGAGATGTGGATGACCAGCTCTACTGTGCCGCAAGTAGTGCTTGTAGGATCCAAATCCCAGTTCACCATTTAATAGCCATGACCTTGAACAAGTCCTTGACCGCTCCTTGACCTCTTACCTGCATCATAAGGCTCTTTTGAGTATTAAATTAACACTTATACAGCACTTGGAACAGGGTCTCACATGCAGCAAATGCTTTCTAAGTGTTTATTATTACTATCATCTTGCCAAAATGTAAGCTCATGATGGTGAGAATTTCCAGCTGTTTTGTTCATATCATAACCCAGAACCTAGCACCATGCCTGGTATATAGCAGGTGCTCAATAAACACCTTTTGAGTGATCAGTGAATGAAGATACCACACAGCTAGAAATGGATACAGATTCTCTCTCCTTAAGACTTAAGATTGTTCGGCCAATTCATTTAACGAGCAAACTCATTCTCCAAGTATTTGTTGAATGCCTGCTATGTTTATAGTGGCAAACTGTGCTTGGTGCTGATATACAATGAAGAATAAGAAGAAAGTTGTGGTCTCTTTTAAACAAAGCTCATGGTCTAGGACAGAAAAAGACATTGACAAAATAATTATGCAAATAGTAGAATTACAAGCAGTGGCAGGTGCATGAAGGAAAGGTGCATGGAGCTCTGGACGTGTAAAACAGAGCAGCTGGCCAGGCACGGTGGCTCATGCCTGTAATCCCAGCACTTTGAGAGGCTGAGACAGATGGATCACAAGGTCCGGAGTTCAAGACCAGCTTGGCCAACATGGCAAAACCCTGTCTCTACTAAAAATACAAAAATTAGCCAGGCATGGTGGCGCATACCTGTAATCCCAACTATTCAGGAGGCCGAGGCAAGGGGAATCACTTGAACCCAGGAGGCAGAGGTTGCAGTGAACCAATATGCCACTGCACTCCAGCCTGGGTGACAAAGTGAGACTCTGTCTTAATTTTTAAAAAATTACATAAGGCAATTGCTCTCAGGATTGGATGGCAGGAAGCAGAAGGCTGCAGTCCCCAAAGGTGAGAGAGTGCACAGGTGAGCCCATCTTCACTTCAGCTCTCTGCCTGGGGACAGCTCCCCGCCACTTGCAGAGAGCAGCATCTGAGCTAAGCACGGTGGTCCCACTGAGCTGAGGATTTCCTAAAATAAATCCTAGATGTCTGGCACCACTCAGAGTGCCAGGCTGTGGAAGCCTCTAGAATCAGTGGCATCAGAGAGGAGGAAGCTGCCAGGGAAGACCTCAAGTCTTTGGCCAAGGGCTGGGCTGTGTAAGCACAGGGAGAGATGGTGCAAGCTTTACCAGAGAGGGGCTGCTATGGGGTAAAGAGAACAGAGAGACTAAGAGTGAAGTGGAGCTGGCATATGGGAATTCCAGCCCACCAGATTCAAGAGACCTCCCCACCAAGCATCCAAATAGTCCATGCCTTCAGAACAAGCAGATGCCTCAGAGGAAGGGCTACTAATGGGGCCTAAAACCAACCCTCAAATAAAACGCAGAGAAGAGAGTTTAAAAACTAAGCCCCATCAAGTTAGATACACCTTGAGCCTTCCACAGATCCACCCTGACAAAGTGCAAAATAAAGCTCAGAATGTCTATCATACCCAGCATATATCGTCACCATGTCAGAGTGCAGTCGACAACTACCAGACAGGCAACGAAACAGGAAATTGGGACTCATGGTCAAGAAACAAAAAACTCAATAGAAACAGATTCCAAGATGTCTGCGATATCCAATTAAAAAAGCAATTGTCAAGACTTACACGTTCTTAATATTACCATAGATGTCCTTAATCAGAGGTACACACCCAAAAGGCCTATGGAGATTTGGGGGGGTTGAGGTTTTTCACTTGTTTGTTTGTTTACCTGGGACTTACTCATGCTCTGTAGTTTCTAATTAAGTAGTTTCAGAATGCCCAACAATCTGAATTTTTAAGAACCACCCTAGAGTTTCTGATGTACACTACAGATTAAGAACCAGGTTTTTATTATATTAATAGAATACTTCCACTTTAAAGCAAATACCAAAAATTCAAGTTATATTAATTTAAATATATTAAAGGTTCTGGTTAATTGACCTGGTTAATGGGCACCAATCAGTTGTTCCTGGTTAACCAGATTATATAATTAAAAATATTTCAACTCCAACTGTTTTGGGGATAAATAAGCATACTTCCTTACTTATTTTGAAAAAAAAAAAATCTGAGGTTAAATGAAAAGCCACAGGCACACAAAAGAAGATACTGATTAATAAAAAAACAAAAGGAAATGCTCATGGCAAAACATAAAATTAAAAGATCAGAGTACAATCTACATGTTCGCTACAGAATTAAGTATAGAAATATATGGTAAGAGGCTGCCATGTTTGTGAATTAAAAAAAGAAAGGAAGTATATCAAAACACTAATGTAGCTTTTTAAGGTAGTTTGATAATATATAGTTTTAATTTTCTTACTTTTCTGCATTTTACAAGATTTAGTATTTTTTATTAATGAACTCTTTATCTGAAACTTAAGATGATGGCTTCAGAAACCTGTCAGTCAACACACAAACCTCTACAAAGCTCTAGAAGTTTCTCCATCAGAAAGAAAAAGGAAGAAGCATCCAGGCACATGAATATCATTTCTATCCTTATCCAGCTCAGAAAGCTTTCTCCTCTGGCTTATGAGTCGCTAGATTAGCTTCTGATGCTAACTTAATCTCAGATTTCTCATTCCTCAAAGGAGTAAGAGGCTGAGACACACACCTCATCTTAACAAGCAACAAATAGTGGGTCAAGCAGAAGTGAATCACTTAGTAACAAACACCACACACAAAAGGAAGAGCATTCGAGTCCATACCTGAACCACAGGGTGGCCCCCAGTTGGCGCTTTGACAGCCCCTCGGCTGCCTTCTGTCTCATAGTGGGCCCGGTGATGTGGCTTGGGCTGCACCTCGATCCGCAGCTCATAAGAGCCTGACTGACTGGAGAGCGGCCACTCAAGCGGAGGGAGGGATGCAGTCACTGGGATGCTGAAGAAGAAAATAAAATCAGCTCTGCATGCTATGAACCAGAATCAGTTAACTTGTACAATAATTGTAAATGGCCCCTTTTCTGAAAATCATGGATATGGTCATGTGTTGCTTAACAGCGAGGATACGTTCTGAGAAATGCACCATTATGTGAAAATCAGAGTGCACTTACATGAACCAAGATGGCACAGCCTACTACATACCTACACTATATGGTATAGTGGTTCCTAGGCTACAAACCTATACAGCATGTGGCTGTACTGAATACTGTAGGCAATGGTAACACAATGGGAAGTATTTGTATATCTAAACATATCTAAACACAGAAAAGTTACCATAAAAATACAGTATTAAGGCTGGGCATGGTGGCTCATGCCTGTAATCCTAGCACTTTGCGAGGCCATGGATCACTTAAGCCCAAGAATTTGAGGACAGCCTGGGCAACATGGAGAGACCCTGTCTCTACTAAAAATACAAAAAAGTCAGCCACGCATGGTGTCACATGCCCATAGTCCCAGCTACCTGGAACACTGAGGTAGGAAGATCCTCTGCGTCCAGGAAGTCAAGGTTGCAATGAGCTGTGATTGCACCACTGCACTCTAGTCTGGAGACCAGAGTGAGACCCTGTCTCAAAAACAAAAACAAAAACAAAACCCGCAAAGTTGGGTGCAGTGGCTCATGCCTTTAATTCTAACACTATTGGAGGCTGAGGTGGGCAGATCACTTGAGGCCAGGAGTTCAAGACCAGCCAGGCCAACATGGTGAAACTCTGTCTCTACTAAAAATATGAAAAATTAGTTGGGCATGGTGGCACATGCCTGTAATCCAGCTACTCAGGAGGCTGAGGCACAAGAGTCATTTGAACCTGGGAGGTAGAGGTGGCAGCCAGCCGAGATCACACCACTGCACTTTTGCCTCGGTCACAGAGAGACTCTGTCTCAAAAAGACAAAAACAAAACAGTATTATAATCTTATGGGACTGCCCCCATATATGGGGCCCATCACTAATGAAAATGTGGTCATGGGGGGTATGATTGCATGTGAACAAAATGCTGAGGCAGTACGTATTTCTCAGACATGACAGGAAGACCTCTTCGCAGGGTCGAGATCTTCCACCTTGATGAAGACGGTGTGAGCAACTTCTCAACTAATGAAGTTTATGTTAATTCTAGCATGTTTCTAGCTGCTGTAACTTCTTTTCCCCTGGAAATTTTGAAAACCGTCACTATGGATTTCTGTCACTATGCATGAATTTATGTCACTATGTCCTGATTTTTCACATATGGCAGAAATCATTCATCAGAGTATTCTTTCCCACTTAGCTCAGGGGTGCTAGGAGCTGACACTATCAACTGGGCTTGGTTAAGCACTTGCAGTAAAGCCAACTTCTGTGTTCTCTATCACAGCAGTACCACGGGGAGCACAAGAGATAGCCCTTCCGTAAACTTTATCCATGCCAGAGTTCAATTTCAACATTTCATCCAACTTACGATCATATCCTCACTATGCAAGCAAATCTCCTCCCCTTCTTTCCAACCAGACTACCTCCTGAAATCCCTCTTACCCTGTGGTCTCAGGGTATCCAAAGGACCTTTATTTTACCTTCGTTACAGTGCCAAGATGCCTTCAAGCGTCTGCCTGCGACCAACGAGCTACACGTGTCAAACACGTTTACCAACATCATATAAGCAAGTGAAAAGTTTTTAAAGGTTGGCAAACTAAGACTCAGTAAAGAATCATGTTAGTCCTGTATTAATATGATTTAACGCATCAAAAATGTTGTGAGAAGAAAATTCAGTGGCATATCCCCAGGTTTCAATTTATAATTTTGTTTGGTTCTGAAATAGGTATTTGACACCGAAATACAATCTTAAGAAGTAGTGCATCAGAGCCAGCCTGAAATTCTAATTTGGATTCCAGCCCTCTGCTAAATTGTCTGTATACCCTGAGATCAATGTTACCAGGAGACTTCCCTGATGCCCCATCCTCTCAACTTTATAGAAGGTTCTTGCAAAGATGACATTGGCTGGCACAGATTGGTACTTGTAAAGAACTAAAGGACTCTAACACTCAAAACCTCTCCAATCAAGATGTCTCACGTAGAGGAAAGGATTTTAGAAACAATAAAGTCCTCAATAAAAGTATCATAATCATATTTTACAGCAGTGTCCCTTCCCACTCTCAACCATTAAATAAAATCATGGTTTGGAGACCGATCTGTCTATGCAGCACAAAAAAACAAGGAGTTAAGAATCCCAGATTCTCATTTTCAATGCAGTCATTAACTAGCTGGCGATCATGGGGCTTGTCACTTCACCTCTCTCAGCCCAAATTTCTCAATCTGTACCAGGGGTTAGTCTTGATCAGGATTTTCTAAGACACCCCTGTGAAACTTCTGACACAGAACTCTGTAACCAAATGGCCTTTGAAATCACCGCATACTCTGTCCACATTAAAGTCTCTGAGAAGGCCTGCACACAGGCACCTTCCTAACTCTGTTAAAATCAGAAACTCCTTTTCTTGAGAAACAACAGCTGACCTACTGCGGCCCTGGTGCTCTGAGAACCTGCTTTGGAGGAAACTCCAGGCTGGATGCTCCCTGCAGTCCATTTTAGTCTGGTACGGGGTGAGCACAGCCCAGCGGGCAGGGCCCGAGGCCACCCTCAACCCCACACCAATCAAAAGAGCTCCACCTTTGGGGACTCATTTTTTATTTTTATTTTTTGAGGTAGAGCCTCAATTTGTCACCCAGGCTGGAGACAATCTTGGCTCACTGCAACCTCCACTTTCCAAGTTCAAGCAATTCTTCCACCTCAGCTTCCCAAGTAGCTGGGATTACAGGTGCACGCCACCACGCCCAGCTAATTTTTGTATTTTTAGTAGAGATGGGTTTTCACCATGTTGGCCAGGCTGCTCTTGAATTTGCAACCTCAGGTGATCCACCCACCTCAGCCTCCCAAAGCGCTGGGATTAGAGGCCGTTAGCCACGGCACCCAGCCCATTTGGGGACTCAATTTAATATTGGGAGTAAAAGGCTTCCATTTCCTAAAATAAAAAATAACTTGAAAACCACAGAGATGATAGCAAGAGTCTTCCAATTCCTCTTCAAATTGAACAGATAGGATAATCTCTGTCCTTAGCCTTCATGTACCTCCTTCATCATTAGACCAAAATGAAGACAAAAAGTAATACAAGCCAAGTTTCTGTGAGAATTAAATGAAATAATACATACAGAGAGTGCAATTCATCCTCTGTAACCATGGGTTCTATGTCCTTTGACTGAAAATATTCAGAAAAAAAAAATTCCGCAAAGTTCCAAAAAGCAAAATTGGAATTTTCCATGCTGCAGGTTCTACATGGAGTTCCCATGAATGATGTGCAGACATTGTATTAGGTATTATAAGGTATTATCATCTAGAGATAATGTAATGTACATGGGAAGATGTGCACAGGTTACATGCAAATACTATACTGTTTTACATAAGGGGCCTGAGCATCCTCAGATTTCGGTATCCCAGAATACCACTGCACAGGCTCTAGGCTAAGAGTTTGACGTATATAATCTCATCTAATCCTTTTTTAAAAAGCCACAAGGTACATTCTTATAACTTCTTCTCACAGGGAATAAACCAAGACCAGAAAGGTGCTCAGTAAAAATGGGGAGCAGGGGGAAGGTCCTGATTGATTAGTGATGTCTGCCCTGGGCATGGCATCAAAAGGTGTTCAATGAGAAAGAGGGTGCTGACTGATTAGCAATGTCTTTCACAAGCAGAAAGGCAGCAGCAGAGATGCCCATGTTCACTCAGGTAGCGAGTGGCAGAGACAGGACTCAAACTGAGCCTTAGGAGACTCCAAAGCCTATATGTGATGCTGCCAGCTACGTCCATCTCTTCAGCTTACCAAGATCTTAAGCTCCTTGACTCACACATTTCTTTTTTTTAGGGCCTCCATATAACTGGGACACACAGCAGATACTAACAAACATCAGTCCCTCTTATAAATGAGACAGATTTTACACATTAAGGCTTGCTTTGTGCCTACCAGAATGTCAGCTCCACAAAGGCAGAAATTTTTGCCTGTTTACTTCACCACTGTCTCTCCATTACTTATATAACAGAATCTGGCACCTAGCAGATGTTTGATAAACACTTTTTGAATAAATGAATAAACGAGGTGCCGCCATACGAGCAATTGCATTTTTCATGACTGCATCCTCATAACCACCTGGTGAGTCAGGTCCACTAATTATATCCATTTTACAGATGAGAAAAACATGGCCCAGAGAATTTAACTTCCTCCTCAGAGTCTGGCAACAAGCAAGGGGCCAATCCACTCGACTCTGAATCCCATGCTCATAACCAGAAAACCACCTCTTAAAACTAAACCACGGAATCCATCATCTTCAAAGCCCTGCTCACCTGCAGATGGGAATGGCAGGCACCAGCTGCTTGGGCCAAGTGGGCGGGACCAGCAGGATGGATTCCGGAGCCGAGTTTCTCCTCTCCTCCTGCTCGCAGGGCCCCAGGAACTCCACGGCCGGGTAGAGGTGGCGGGGCAGGCCGGCCTTGGACGGGGCGGCGGACACCGGCGAGGGGTCAGGGCTGGTCTTCCACATCTTGGGGGGGATCCCACAAGGCGAGTCCGTGGCGAGGCTGTTCAGGGCATCCATGATCACTGCAGAGCCAGCCACAGGGGGGTACCCAGCCGGGGCGCCGTGGTCCTGGGATGCCACGTGAGATGAGGGCTGCGGCGAGGGGCTCCGGGAGCGCTGGGGTGAGGCTCCGGGCAGCGGGGCAACCAAGGCCTCGGCGCACGAATGCCTCCGCTTGGCACCAGGCGACGAGGAGCGGGAGGCCGGACGGGGCACGGGCGAGTGGCGGCCCAGGCAGCTGTCCTCGGCGAGGCTGGTTCGAGGTGACATTATTGGCGAGGTTCTGGGGGAATAATGAGCAGGGATGTTTTGAAACTGCGGACACAGGTCGTCGGGCCCGCCGTTATTGGGCGAGACGCAGGGCGAGGTGTAGGGGGAGAAGGTGTCAGAAATGAAGCTGGCAGAGGAGCCGCTGCTAGCGGGGCTCAAGCAAAGCGGCTCGCGGTAGCCCTCGAAGCCGGGCACGGGCAGCGTGAACCTCGGGCTGGCGGCCACCCCGGCCAGGGGCACCTGCTCCACGCCCGCGTCTCTCATGCGGAGGGGCCCCCCTGCCTGGATCAGTTCGTGGGACGGAGTGATCTCGATCCGAGGGCTCAGGCCCGAGGCCCCTGCTGGCTTGGCCGGGCTCAGAAAGTTCTGCGGCCCTACCCTATCGGGCTCTGCGAATCGGCCGGGGGGCTCGCCCGGGAGACTGGTAAAGGGGCTGTATGGCTTGAGGCCATAGTCCAGGACATCATCGGGGTATGCGGGTCCGGAGGGTGGGCTGGCGACCTTATGTGCATTCGGCTCTTCTGGAAAGAGAAGGGGGGAGGGGGGTCTTTTTAAGCCTCAAAAACAGAACTCCCAGTGCAGAGCAATCACAGGTTGGGTTTTGTCTCACATTACCTTTTTTTTTTTTTTTTTTTTTTTTTTTTTTTCCCAAATTCCCACCATGCCAAATCCCGGGCTAGAAGCTCTGTCCCTCACCAGAAGGAAACTGAGGCCACTTTGTCCCAGATCCCTGGAGAAGAGAGGTTGAAGCAGAGTTAAGTTCTGGAAGACCCCTGGGTGAAGGGCCTCCAAACTCGGGTTTCAATGTAACGCTTCTGAGAAGTGCACTGTTATCTCACGACCCCACTCACACCACCGGATACACCCACAGATGAAATGAACGCCGCCCAGGTCAATACTTACCCTGCTGCATATGACACCCCAGACCCTCCCTCCTGTCTGACTGATTTTGCTTCAACGCTGGTCACAACCCATTAGATGGATTTCCTAACCCACCAGCACAATGAATCCGGACCCGGAGTTTGAAAAGCAGTGATCTAGGACTTACGGCAGCGCTCTACACTCGTGACAGGTTGTGGGACACCTCTGCCGCCCACAGTGCCCTGGGCTTGAATCCAGATTGCACACCAAGTGCAAGAAGTGGCTTCATTTAGAACCAGGGCTCCTGACTCATGTCTCATCTGTGTCATTTTACAAATGAGGAAACTGAGGCCCAGAGTGGGGAAAGGATCCACCAAAAGATATGGGATTCGTTGGCTTAAAAATACCACAGCCAAACCACTTGTCCCCAACAGGCAGGGTCACTGCTACAGAGGTTACCTGACACCCCAACTATTAAAACCAGTGGGTACAGGCTGGGCACAGTGGCTCACACCTGTAATCTCAGCACTTTGGGAGGCTGAGGTGGGCAATTCACTTGAGGCCAGGAGTTTGAGACGGGCCTGGCCAACATGGTGAAACCCCGTTTCTACTAAAAATACAAAATTTAGCCAGGCATGGTGATGGGTGCCTGTAATCCCAGCTACTCTGGAGGCTGAGGCATGAAATTGCTTGAACCCAGGAAGCAGAGGTTTCAATGGGCTGAAACTGGGACACTGCACTCTAGCCTGGGCAACAGAGCAAGACTCCGTCTCAGAAAAAAAAGTCCATTCTCAAAACCTACTATAAAGGCTTCCAGACACTTTAGATGGGGCCTACAGTCATTAACACAGCACGTGCCCTGGCCTGCCACCCACCCCCGCCACTCCCTACACTTCTCCCCACACTGGGTCAGCAACAGCCCCATCAACATCTTCACTGCACTTAAACTGCTCCTGCCTTAGAGGCCTTGGGTTCCCTCCCTGCGAGATTCTCCTACTTCCTGTGGTTCCTTCCTGCATCTGCTCAGCCAGCACCTCCAGAGATCGGCCCATCAAAGAGATCCCCTCCACCCCTTTTCCCTGCCATCTTTTCTCCACTGACATCTGTTACCAGCTCACATTGCTCCAGGTATCTGTTTAGGGAATCTCACTCTGCTAAACCAGGAGCAGGCAAACCACAGACCACTGGGTTGTGTTTGTTAACAGTTTTATGACAACACGGCCTGCCTGTTTATTTACACAGGGTGAACAGCGTGCTCCTGTACGACAGCAGCAGAGTTGGTAGTTACGATAAAGACCGAATGGCCTCCAGAGCCGGCAGTATTTACTCCCTGGCCCTTTAGAGAATTTTGCAGCCCCACACTGCACCCTGAGCTCCGTCAGGGCTGGGCCCGGGTCACTGTGGCCCAGCAGTGTCCGTCAAGCACCTACCACAGGCCCTGGCACTTGCCAGCCCTCCATCAACATCTGCCAAGTGGCTAAGAGCGTAAGCAAATGGAAGAACCACGTTCAGGGGCCCACCAGCCAGAAACCGGACCTTTGCCTGTGGTTGTCCGGCTGACTCCTGCTTTGGGGGACCCCAGGTGGCCACTCCAGCAAGCCTCAGCCTCCTTATGCCCTTTCTGGGCTGTCCTAGAGGAAGTACTGCCCACTTTAGCTAAGCTGATCTCTTAGGGTCCAGAAGGTGCCCCCATTCCCAAAGGGGCTCCCCATAGCTCCTAGGTAAAAATAAATGGCCCCCGCCAGGCAGCCTCGCTGGGTCCTGCCTGCTCACCTACTCTCGCTTGCATTCACTCTCTCCACTCCCTCTCTCTGAGCTCATGCCAAAAGGGAGTGTCGTGATTTTTGTTTTCTTTTTGTTTGGAGGCAGGGACTCACTCAGTTGCCCAGGTTGAAGTGCAGTGGCACAGTAACAGCTCACTGCAGCCTCGACCTCCCAGGCTCAAGCGATCCTCCCACTCAGCCTCCTGAGTAGCTGGGACTACCAGTGTACCCCACCAGTCTCAGCTAATTTTTTTTATTTTTATTTTTAGTAGAGATGAGGTCTCACTATGCTGCCCAGGCTGCTCTCAAACTCCTGAGCTCAAGTGATCCTCCCACCTCAGCTCCCCAAGGTGCCAGGATTACAGGTATAAGCCACCATGCCTGGCAAAGGGGAGTTTTTTTTAAAAGCATCGAGCTCCTTCCTGCCCCAGGGCCTTTCTACTTGCTGCTCCCCTGCCTCAACAGCTCCTCCTCAACCCACTACCAGGCCCCCTTCTCCACATGACTAAAGGCCACTCATGCCCATGAGCTCAGCTTAAATGCCACATGCTTCTAGAAGGACCCCTGACCACTTGACTAGCTCAGGCCCCACTCACAGGCCCCTGCTGTGTTCTGTGCACATCTCACTGTAACAACTGAGGAACTGTAGAGTCCTCCACTTCCCTCAACCTCCAGTCTGCCCCTCCCTCAACCTCAAGATCCGCCCCCACCAATCCGCTAACGCCATGAGGACTCTTGCTCTGCCATACCCCTAGCACTTGGATGGGATCGGCCACTGAACACACACTCAAAAACGATTCGTTGGCTGAATGAATGATGCAAGCTCAGAAACATCTACCTGGAATATTTAAACTATTACTCAAAGATGCTAATATCCAAACCAAAAGACAGAAGGCTAAGACGTCTACAGAGGGTAATTTGGTAATATCCATCAAAATTCCAAACACACGTGCCCTTGGAACCACACAATGCTACTTTTAGAAATTCATCCTGGGCTAGTCACAGTAATTCATGCCTGGAATCCCAACCCTTCAGGAGCCAGAGGTGGGAAGATCGCTTGAGCTCAGGAGTTTGAGATCAGCCTGGGCAATATACAGACTCCATCTCTACAAAAAAAAAAAAAAAAATTTAAATTAGCTGGGCAGGGTGGCACCTGCCTGTCGTCCCAGCTTCTGGAGAAGCTGAGGTGAAAGGATGAAGGCTGCAGTGAGCTATGATCACGCCACTTCCTCCCAGCCTGGACGACAGGACAAGATCCTGTCTCAAAAAAAAATTTTTCTTTTTGCAGATATACTCTCATCTGTGCAAAATGACTTGTGTATCCTTAAGATTAATTACTTCAGCCCTGATTGTAATCCCAAAAGACTGGAAGTAACCCAAAGCCCATCTATGGGGGATGAATTAATTCTGGCTCATTCACATGATGGGATACAATACAGCTACAAGAAGGCCTGAAGAGGTTCTTTATAATTGACATGGAATGACCACTAAGATTTAGTATTACAGGAGAAAAGCAAGCTGTATAGTGTGCACAGCATAAAAAGGGTGAGAGGATGTACACACTCAGATGTACAGACAGATGTACACAGACGTATACAGATATACACATACACAGATGCACACAGATATACACACAGATGTACACACAAAGACAGATGTACATGCACAGCTGATGGAGGCACAGGCTTTCTCTGGAAGTCACAAGTAATAGTGACATCCTCCAGGGAGGGAAACTAAGGAACGAGGGGACAGTGACATGAGAGAAAGGAGACTTTTTATTTCTGTAATTATATAAGAAAAGAAATGTAACTCCCAGAAGAAACATTTTAAATCTTATTTCATAGGTGGTAGGTGACATAACATGATATATAGTAATGAAACCCTGTTTTATGAGGCAGGAAATTGAGAGTGCGGTCCTTCTCTGCCACTAAGTAACAGCATGACTTTGGAAAAGTCCCCCACCCACTGGAGGCCTCAACCCTTTCTCATTTGTAACTGAACAGCATTAAATTGAATCAGTTTCCTTGGTGGCTTCTGGCTCTGAAATCCTTAGATTTTTCTAGCTAGCATCTGTAAGGCTTAGCGTTCTTGTGAAGCTGTAGTTCAAAGTAAATGTGTATTTGAATTCACACAGATAACACACACACGCCTTCCTAGAAGGTAACCAGACATAGATTTTTAATCTAGGAAAAGATGGATGTCAAATCTATGGCCAACAACATTCTGAGAATTCACTGCCCTTCAAACCAGAAACACAAAACACAAAAAAATCTCTTAGCAAAAATTCCGGCCATATCAGAAAAGCTGCACTGCATCTTATCAGAAACACACCCTCAGGCTGAAGTCAACAGTCCGCAGAAACACTGCCCTGAAAACACACATCACTCACACACCCTGGAAGCACTGAAAACAGAACGCTCCAGTGCGCCGGGCAGAAGTATTTAAAGCATTTACATTGGTTTTCATCAATCCAAGTGGCAGAAATTTTTTTTTCTCTTGACAAGACTTTGAATGTTTACCAGCGAGCGGGGAATATGAAGATAATTAACAATCATTTAATTCTCAGTCCCCTGGGCATTTGACAGTAAATTTCACAAATAGCACATCATTAAAATATTTCTTTCACTTAGTGGCTGAGATTCCTCGCTATTTCTCCTTCAACAACTGCCACGCCCGCAGACAGCTTTCTTACTGGTATCGCGATGCCTGCACGGCACTGGGTGAAGCTGGTTTCATCTCAGAACCGCCAAATGCTCTCAGGAGGGTTTCCAAAAAGCTTGCTTTCATTTAACCGCGTGCACCATCTTTGCTCTGTCCATGTGCCGCCGATAAACATTGACTTAATATTTCTAGTATTTAAATTCACTTTTTTTTTTATTTTAAAAAGAAACTTTATACCACTACTGCAGATGGAAAATCAATGTCACCTCCATAAATAGAAGGTAGGGTAAAAATACAATAAAAATAAAACTTACTAAATTCAAGCAAGACACAGTGGCTGGCTGAAGGCTGAGTCTGAGGCTCTATACACCCCCATCCCGCCAGTGCTCCTGCGGTATAACTCACAGATACAGATGTCAGTGTTTTGAGTATTGGGTTTGATGAGTTTTGCCAAATGTCATACATTCTTATTACCACCAACAAATATGGAACATTTCCATGGCCCCAGAAAGTCAAGACCTAGAAACGGAGGAGGAGCCAGTGTTCGGAAGAAAGGTATCGACAATACAGCAGCACCTCACTGAAGCTCCCTTCCTTTTGTTGTTTGTTTTTTCTTTTTCGAGACAGAGTCTCGCTCCATCCCCCAGGCGGGAGTGCAGTGGCACAATCTCAACTCACTGCAGCCTCCGCCTCCAGCAATTCTCCTGTTTTAACCTCCCAAGCAGTTGAGATTACAGGCACCCACCACTACGTCCCACTAATTTTTTTCTATTTTTAGTAGAGACGGGGTTTCACCATGTTGGCCAGACTGGTCTTGAACTCCTGACCTCAGATGATCTGCCTGCCTCAACCCAAAGCGTTGGGATTACAGGCGTGAGCCACCGCTATGGTGCCCAGCCTGAAACTCCACTCCTTCTGACTAGTTCAAAGAGAAAATAGCACTGAGAAATAGTTCTTAGCATATACAATATCTTCAGCAGTGGACCACCTAAAACCATTTCAACTACCATGGGAGGTACCCGGCCTGCATTCGAAGCGTTAGTACCAAAAGGTGGAAGAAGACAGAAGCAGTGATGGAAGATCCAGAGGTTGCTTCTCAACGGCCTGTGTGCCTCCACGTCACACATGTGCCATTCCCCTACCCAGGACTCCCTTCCCTACCTCTCTACCTTACG